AAAAAAAAAAAAAAAACCACACACACACACAATAGCTTCAAAAGCCAGGGATTTAGCTCAGTGGTTTCGCCGCCTGCTGTGCAAGCGCAAGGACCTGAGTTTGATCCCTGGTACCAAAAAAAAAGCATGGTGGTGGGGGCGGGGGATTTAGCTCAGTGACGACATGACACGCCTGCCCCTCAAGTGCAAGGTCCTGAGTTCGATCGCTGGTACTGAAAAAAAACAAGCACGGTGGTGACACAACAGATCTGTGGAGCAATGGAACAGAATAGAGGATGCAGAAACAGCAGGGACATTCAGCAGTCTGATCTTTGACAAAGGGACCAAAAACATACACTGCAGGAAAGACAGCCTTTTTGTCAAATGGTGCTGGGAAAACTGGGTATCCATGTGCAGAAACTGAATCTAGACCCCTCTCACCATGCAGTGAAATAAAATCAAAGCATCAAAGACCTTGGTTCACAAAATTCTTTCCATGATTCTGGTCACAAAGTGAACTGGACAAGAACCCAATCAAATTCAATGGTTAGGTTCAGTGTTGACCTTGTGGGGAAATTTAGTTCAGTTCTCATTCAATTTGGTTTGCAACTAGAATCATGGAAAGAATTAAGTTTGTGAACCGAGGTATTAAAACAATCTACGGGAACATAAAATACATACAACTCTTGAAGTCAGAGGGGTAGGCAAGGACTTTCTTTCTGGTTTTTTGGGGTTTTTTTGGTACTGGGGATCAAACTTGGGACCTTGGTCATGTGACCCGGCAAGGACTTTCTGAACAGAACCCCAACTGCACAAGAAGTAATAGTAGCAATCAACAAATGAGATCACATCAACTTAAAAAGCTTCTGGGCTGGAGACTTAGTTCAGTAGCACCACCGCCTGCCTAGCAAGCGCAAGGTCCCAAGTTCGATGCCCGGTACCAAAAAAAAAAATTAAAAAGCTTCTGCACAGCAAAGAAAACAACCAATAGAGTGAAGAGACAACCTACAGAATGGGAACAATTTTTTCTAAATCCCAGCACTTGGGAGGCTGAGGCAGGAGGACCACTTCGAGTTCAAGCCTGAACTGCATAGTGAGACCCTGTCAAAAAAAAAAAAAGGGGGCCAGGGATTTAGCTCAGTGGTTTTGCCACCTGCTGCGCAAGCACAAGGACCCAAGTTCAATCCCCGGCACCAAAAACAACAACAACAAAAAAAAGGCCGGGGATTTAGCTCAGTGGTTCCACCACCTGTCTCGAAAGCGCAAGGACCCGAGTTCAATCCCCGGTACCAAA